AAAAAATTATAATAAAATTAAAAATAAAAATATACCTAAGTATAATTTTAATTTTAGCTTATAGTAATATCTTAACTAGCTTAGTACTTTAAAATTAAATTTTAAAAAAGTACCTAAAAAATATAAATTAAATCAATAGTAAATTTTAAAAGCTTTAATTATAATAAAGTTAGTATATAAAAGTAATTAAATTTAATATACTAATAAATTAAAAGGTATAAATAAAAAATATTAAAAATTTTTTTAAAAATATTTTAAAAAATAAATAGCTATAATCTTAAAAAGTTTAATAACTAGTTTATTAAATACTATAATTAAACTAAAGTTAGCTTATTAAAAAAAAGACTAAAATCCTAAAGATTTTGCTAATTATTTAGCTATATTAAAATAATATTTTTTAAAAAATAATAAAAAAATATAAATTTAATATTATTTTAGTAAATTTTTACCTTTACTTTAAGATAAAATTTATAATTTTAATAATATAAAACTTTTAAATACTAAAAAATATTTAGTTTAACTTGCCTTATAATATTAATTTTATATATTATATTTATAACCTTATATTACCTTATATTATAATAAATAATTAAAACCCGCTAAAAAAAATACTATTAATTTAAAAGAAAATTAACATGGATTTACTTGTGGTAAAAAACCTAAAAAAGGTATTATTTTATAAAATAAATTTTTAAAAGTAGTTATAATAAAATACTTACAAGGCAAACTTTTAATATAATAAAACCCTTTTAAAGTTATACTAAAATAGTATTAAATTAAAATTAATTAAAATTAACTTTTATAATATATTTTAAGTATAAAAAACCTAGTTATATTATACTTAATTATATAAAATTATTATAAAATCCTAACTTTTAGCTAGTAAATCTTAATTAAATTATAAAGGTTTATAAGGTGGTAGTTAAAAACCCTTAAAATAAAAAATATTATAAAAAAAAGTAAGATAATTAATAAAAAGGTAAGTATATAAATTAAAATAAAAGTAAAATATATAAAAAAAAATAAAAAAAGTTAAAGTAAAGTCTTATGCCCTAGCTTAATATTTAAAAATAAAAATAAGTAAATATTTTTAAATAAAAATAATAGTAAAAGCTTCGCGAAATAAAATTAAAATTAAAGTAAACTTAAATATTAAAGTAAAGGTAAATATAATAAGTATAAAATTTATTAAGCATGCTTATTTAAATTAAGTAAAACTTTTTTATTTTATTTTAAAAAAATATAGTAGTTAGCAAGATAATTTAAAAAAAGTATAAAAATACTTATTAAAGTTACTAATTTTAGGGGTATTATAAAAATATTTAAATAGCCTTATATAAAAATAAAGTAAATTAAAATTAAATACTTAATTATTTTTTTTATTATAACTATCCAAGCCATGTATATTTATATAATAATAAATTAATAATAATTTAGTAATAAAATAGTAAAATACTAAATTTTTAAATAATATAAGTTTATAAAGGCTTGTAAAAATTAAGCTTATATATTTATTATTATTTTTTTACCTAAAAAAGTTTATAATAGTAATAAGTTAAATTAAATAAATAATTTATTACTTAAATTTAATATATTTTAAGACATATTTTTTTATATAATATAAAAATAATATTTTTAAAGTTAATACTTATACATAGTATTATAATAATAAATAGCTAGTTACCTTTTTATAAGCTAATTTATTTTTTTTTATTAAATTAGCCACGTTATACTAGTCTATTAATAAAAATATTTAATATAATTATATTAAACCTTTTAAAAGTCTTACCAAAGTACCTATTTTTTTTATACCTAAAAAAATAAAGGCTTATAATTATATATTAATTATTAAAAATTAAATAAGATAATAGTTAAAAATTAATATTCTTTATTTTTTATTTTAAAAATTCTTAATTAAATCTCGGGAGTAACCTACTATATTAAAGTTAATTTAAAAAATACTTATTATTATATTTAGGTTTATAAAAAAAAACTAGTAAAAAATAGCTTTTTAATATTAATATAATTATTATAAGTATATTATTATGCCTTTTAATTTAACTAATACTCCTGCCACTTTTTAAAGTTATATTTATTTTATAGTTTATAATATTTTAAATTAGATTTATGTTATTTACCTTAATAATATTTTAATTTTTTTTATTAATTTTAAGTAATATATTAAGTATATTAAATAAGTTCTTAAATATTTATATAAAGCTAAATTATT